TATAATTTTATCCTTTGTCAAAACTAAAAAATTAACCAAAATCAAATTAAAATGTCTTTGCAGTTTTCATTTAGTACTATATTTTTTTTCTTTTCTTTTATATATTTAACAAACCGGGTGGAATCCAAAATGATTTAGGCCGATAAACACTCACTTCCACAAATATTAACTAATAAAATTTAATTTTAAAAGGTATATCATACTAATAATAGAACTAAAATTGAGTATAAAAAGTGAGCATTCATAATGGAGAAAGACAGAGGCAAGGATTAGCCAACCAAATAAAAATAAAAGTGATTAGATTTTTCGAGGGAAAGTAGTTGTGTCTGTGCAAATAGACGCAAAGGAAAGTTTACATTTTATTAGACAAGTAAAAGTCACTTCATCCATTTACGCTTTCCTTCCGTGTCTATTTGCACAGACACAAAGGGTCAATATGGCTTTATTGAGACTATTGATCTTACTTTGTATGATGCTACGTGGCACTTCCCTTTCAGGGGCTACTTCTCCCAAGAACATATTCATCCTCGCCGGTCAGAGCAACATGGCTGGTCGAGGTGGGGTTGAGAATGATCGACCAGGCCACCTCGTGTGGGATAGGTATGTCCCACCCGAGGCTCAACCCGACCCATCAATCCTTCGATTGAACCCTGACCGCCAATGGGAGGTAGCACGAGAGCCTGTCCATGAGGGAATTGACATAAACAAGACAGTCGGAGTTGGTCCAGCAATTTCATTTGCTCACCAGCTGCAGGCCAAAGGCGGGTCAAAGGTCGGCTCTGTGGGTTTAGTTCCTTGTGCTAGAGGTGGCACTCTAATCGAACAATGGCTAAAAAACCCAGGTAATACTAGTGCGACTTTTTACAAAAATTTCATTGAACGAATCCAAGCGTCAGATCGAGAAGGTGGAGTGGTGCGTGCTCTTTTATGGTTTCAAGGGGCAAGCGATGCAGCCAGCAGGGACACTGCAAATAGATATAAAAACAACTTAAAGAAATTTTTCACCGACATCCGCAATGATGTCAAGCCCCGATTTTTACCCATCATTGTTGTACAAAGTGCTGTCTACGACACATTTATGAAGCATGATACTCATGATTTACCGGCAGTGAGAGCAGCACAAGATGCAGTTCAACGAGAGTTACCGAACGTGGTGACCATCGACTCCTTGAAATTGGTGAACACTACCACCTCAGAAGGTTTTAACTTGGATCGTGGTCATTTTAATACTAAGACTGAGATTGCTTTGGGTAAATGGTTGGCTGATACCTACCTCTCTCATTATGGCAATTTGCTTTGACCTAAGGTTTTCCATATTTAATATCTCTTAACTTTCTTATGATATCTCAATAAAATCATCTTTCCACCCTCTTTCTTACTTCTCATATCTGTTTAATTTGAACATAATTAATATTTTCAGGTAAATTCAATAAAACAATCAAATAACCAGTATTATAAATAAAATATATAAATAAAACTTTTAGTACTAAACTTTCTCATTAAAAGAAAAAAAAGTAATCCATATTAAACTATTTTTATCTAATGTACTATGATTAAAGATTCGGTTCAATTTGAGTATTTTTTTTACAATTTTATTTTGTTGATTAGTTCGACTATATAAATATATATATATATATTTCAATGGAATAGTTTTTCCCTCTCCTCTCCCTTCTTCGTGTCATATCACTCTTGCTTAAATGGGAGCATGTAAGTCATGCATGCCCCACTTGCAAAGAAGAAGATCAAATCCTTGTAAGTCATAACACAATCACGATGACCATATCCCGAACTCGTTTTTCTTGTACGGGAAACCATGGACCCGATTTTCTGGCACGTGGGACCATGTACTCAATTTTCTAGTATGAGAGATCACGAAATCAAATACGAATGAACATCAATTCGATTTAAAAAAAAAAAAAACAATCGAACAAGGATCAAGTCAAACAACATCAGCACACAAACTCATCATTGAATCACAAACAAACTAAACTAGCCACCACTCCACCGATTAGAGCCAGTGAAGGAGTGGCCTACCACAACAACAACAAGCTTTGGAGGACTTCAACCGGGCGGCGATGCAGCGGCAAATAAACAGTCACAACGGTGGAAACTAGATTCACAAAAGTTTAAGTGCTCTAGAAAAATACCTAGGTAAAATAACCAAAGTAATTTTATTGATTCCAAAATCCTCAAATTGGATGCAACCCTACCCAGCCATTAATAATAGGATGAAGATAACTAAAACGAAATATCTTAATCAAATAAATTTAGATAACTAAATCAAGGAATTGGAAATCTAAATCATATCCTAAATTATATCTAAATCATAATTCGAGACCTAATACAAAAGGAAACCAGTACTAAAATAATTCAAATTATATCAAATCATATAAGCATGTCACGTTAATCAATAACTTTAAAATTTTAAAATATTCACAATATTATGTCCTTTATCCACTTGAGTATACCTCGACGGATTAAGACATATATTCTTGACTAAAAGATTAATGGTGTTTTTGGTAAGATAGAAATCTTAAAATAATTGATTGAACGAAAACAAAGCTGTATTCATGTTTTTAAATATGTGTTTGGTAGTACATATGAAAATTGAATCTCAATTTAAAAAATTAAATAAAATAATCAAAAAGTATTTTGTAAGTCATTGGTTGCCTACATAAATGCTATAAATTTTTGTAGAATTAGTATTTTACCATGTTATATGATTTATATTATAGTTTACATATTTTATTTTTTTACAAAAATGAAATAAGTTCGATTCAAAATCAGAAAACAATGAAAACATAAAAGAGATTGTTTTTTGAATTTTCAAAATTACACATAATCTTAAAACAAATAGATATTCATTAAGTTCGTTTGATTTAGTGAATGTGAAACAAGGATTTGATTTAGTGAATGAAAAATATAGCTTCTTTTTCTAATAATAAATCCTACATTAAAGGATAGCTTATAGGATAAATATAGATATTAATACAACCTTCAAAACCAAAAACAACTACAAAATATTATCTATTCACAATGTTAAAATTATAAATGACTTTAATTTGTTGAAGATATTTATCCAATTTTTTTTTGTAAAAAAAATATTTATCCAATTTCGAGGAAAAAAAGGTTAGATTTTAAAATATTATTGACACTAGAAAATTAGATATTTCATGAATAAAAAAGATATATTTTAATATTAAAAATAAATCTTTAAAATTCTTTTTAAAAAAAATGCAAAATAAGATTGAAATCATAAATAAAGATAAAAAAAAAATAGAAGCTACAAATTTGGTCTCTAAATTTTTTAAGTCTGTCAATTTAGTTCTTGTACTTTAAAAGTTTTTAATTGATTCTTAAACTTTCACATTTATACTGGTTGAGAGTTCTTGACTTATAGAATTAACGTATCATTTCATTTTCAAGAATTAACTAATTGTTCTCGAAACTCCATTTTCTTAATATGCTTCAGTATGTGTGATTAGCACATTGATGTGTAATCTATCGAACTTATAACTTTATAGTTGGAGGTATATGTCAATTACCACTAAATTATGCTCGCTTTAACGGGAATGTTTCTGTTTGACTTCGTTGAATTCTTTTTATCCCATGGAATATCACTTCAAAATAGCAACTAATTATAATTTACAGAATTTCCACTCTCTCTCAAAATAAAGAAGAGAGGAAATTTTACTCTCATTTGTGCAACGGTTAATGCTGTTAGTTTTTATTTTTGCTTATTTTTTTCTTTTTTGATATCCTACTTTGCGTGCACCTCGGGTACAATCTTCATGCCCATATCATATGCTGTTGTTTATAAACTCGTAACACGTTTCTTGTCCTATATTTGTTAAAAAAGTTAAATACATAATTTCGTCCCTATTTTTATATGTTATTTTTCAATTTCGCTTAATAATATTTCAAGTCATGGTATTTATATACCAGCTGTAAGACTAACTGGGAAGTAAGAAACTAAATAAGTAATACTTAATAGATTAGTAAAATCATATAACTTAATACTTCCCTTCAAGATGGATGATAGATGTCAAAGATGACCCATCTTGGACATAAAAGACTTAAGAATAGCAGCAGGAGGTGGTTTAGTGAACGCATCTGAAAGTTGGGAATCAATCCGAATAGACCTCAATCGAATAAAACCATTGAAAACTTTGTCCTTAATAAAATGGCAATCAAGCTCAACATGCTTTGTATGCTCATGAAAATTAGGATTCGAAGCAATGTGTATGTCGACTTGATTGTACAGAAGAATAAGGTCCGCGACGAAAAAGGAACGTGCAACTCCAATAAAAGATTAGACAACCAAATCAGCTCACATGTAGTAGTGGCCAGAGCCCAATGGCCTCCGCTGAAGAACAAGAGATAATTGTTTGCTTCTTGGCCATCCAAGACACCATTGCATTACCTAGGAACACAAAAACCTATGGTAAAATGCTTAATGTCAAGACAGAAGCCCCAATCGGCATCTGAGAAAGCCCGAAGCTAAAATGAATCAGTAGTCGAAAGAAAAATGCCCTTCCTGATGCATTCTTCAAATAACGCAACAAATGCAAGATCAAAAAGAAGATTATCATCAGTAGCAACTTAGAGCCGAGAATTGGGATCCATAGGCACCAAAACAGTCCTGCAACCAGCAAGCCAATCTCTTCCAGAAGAGAGAGTGTAACGGTGTTGAGATAAAAAGATTCAAAAATAGGCATCTTTATTGAATTTCGAGTACAAATCAACATTCTCAATTATTGAATTTACTCAATTATCGTCTATCAGCACCCAGAACAGATAACATCACTATTGATCCTGCTATTTCTCAATTTTCGGTATCCTCTTCTAATTCCTCTACCCGATATGACTTTCGAGAAATTAATTCTGGCACTTCGAGTCATATTTGCCACATCACAAGCAGCAAACTTCAAACTTATTAGAAGAACAAGAAACTAATTTGAATAAAAAAATAAAAAATTTTGCCAACAATTTTGATAATATTGAAACATCAATGCACATCCTTATTCTCATTATCAGTGGAAAGAAAACTATAAAGATCAAAATTTTACAATCACATCACCTTCAAACTGTGCATTTAGCAACAATAATGTTCTAAACTGCCACTGAACTTACAATATATTCCAGCCTCAGCCTACCACACCCAAAAAGCAGCAGAAAATGGGATTGTCCGAAACCGAAACCAAACCAAAGCCAAAGCCAAAACCACACCATATTCAGACTTGGTGAGATCACTGAAGCTTTCTCTGCAGTAACTTTTGAAGTTTTGAAGCACTTTTTCACCTGAAACAAGCGCAGCAGAAATCGCAATAGTGCATCTCCTTGCAAGAGATCAGTTGGCTCAAGTCTTCTAATGCCCAATTTTCATTCCAAGGCATCCTGCCAGCCTCTGCTGTGGCACTTTCATATCTTCTAACTTCTAGATTTTGGAGTATGCACCTTGAATCATACCCGAACCAGTTGATGTTTCGACAAGGGACTAGTAAGACATCAAACCGTCCGCAAAAAGCCACGAACTTCGATTAGGAAGTTGTGTAAATTTTTCCTAAATCTCTGGGAATTTATGCGATCAAGCACGGAAGAAAGCTGGTTTGCGCTGGTCAGAGTATGTAAAGCATTTGCAATCCTCGACTTGAATGTTGGATTAACCTGCCTCTCTATTAACTCCGTAGCTAATTTCTACAATAAAAAGAAATTTCCATGAAGCTTCTGAGAAAATATTGATTTAACGAAGCGCATGGTATGAGGAGATCATATAAGCCAACCATATGTAAAATCACATTTCATAGCTAAAAGAAAAGTCAAGACTGGTCCAGGTTCAGGACGGCCAAAATCCTTTGGTCAAATGTGGTTAGCTCTTCTTTGGATTCGTTGGAAAGAAACAAATTCAAGAATCTTCTCAGACAAGCTTTATCCTTTTTTCAATTCTTGTGATGTTCCATGTTTCCTAATAAATATATACTCCCTTTTGGCCTAAGGCCTTTAGGTTGGTTTTTTTTGGCTCTTTAACGGCATTTCTAATGAATCTCCCGTTCTCATTTTCATTACAAGATATTTCAATGTCAATTAAAAAAGGTATGTGGCAACTGTTAGAATGCAGGTACCTGGTATAGTCCTTGTTCACAGAGAATTAGAGGAAACAGTGCGTCTGCTGCATTCCCCACCAAGTCAGGACTGAGACCACATAGAATAGAACAAATATCAGCGAGTAAATTAACAAACAGCATCAACAGTGATTCTCACTAAAGTTGATCATACTACTGAAAATTTTAACCTCCTTTATGTAAATTTCATTGTAATTCTTTCCCCTGGCATTTGCATTTAGTAAAAGTGCCCTAAAAATCAGAGTATTTAGTGAAATCTCGGATGAAGTCATTCACCAAGAGTATGTAACCTTGCTTTGAGAGGGGCCAATATGATTAGAAAAACATGTCTTCAGGATTACATTTAATTACTTAAATATCAGACATGTCATGGTCGTCCATTTTACCTGTAATCCTCAAAAAGAAGTAACTGCAGTAGTGACTTAAGGAACCCACTCAAAACGCCTTCCTGTGCAGCTTCACCTGCATCCTTTGGGATAATTACTCGGGAGCCCAAACCAGGATTACCAGCAGAAATTTCCTTAAAGTGGTATGAAGAAAGAGACTTTAGGGCCTTGAGACACATATCAACAACTTCTGTGTCCTATAAAATCAGGAAAAGAGTGAGAAAGATGGACAAGCACTTGAAAACTCAAGGACATTATGGTGCTAGAATGTACGGCAATAATTAGCAATGCTAAATCAAAATAATAGGAAAATGATACTGAAGTTATAATCTTCTTTCCAATATTTGGTCAGCCTTAATAGAAGAAAACCAATAGATTGGGAGGAATATGAATTTCGATGTAATTCATAAATTTTTTTCTAGCATTTGGTTACACGGACACTGATCGAATAAAATTATGGCTGGAAGTGTCATTCTAATCGATTTGATTAGTAGAAGTCTATATGCTTACTTGATATTACATATTAATGTTAATGCTTATCACATAATCAAGTTTTCAATTTAAGTTCAAGTCCAGTAACCAAACACCAATGATATAAATCCATGTCCTACTTGGAAATCATTGCCAAACATTTATTTACCTGATGGTGGAGACCAAAGTCGAGAGTCCTAAGAACCTGAGCAAATGCTTCAGGATTCAGTTTTGCAACTGTTTCAGGATACACCTCCAGCAAATGCGACAACAAAGAGAAGTACTGCAGAGGAGCAGAGTATACATCACTCTTATGAAACAATGATGCAAATAGTTGTTGTTTCAACAAACTAAGAACTCACATCCCGGCAAAGCTTTGGGTATTTCAGCAAATCCAAAGATATCAAAGGACTAATAATGTGGAGACCAAAGTACACAACCTGCAAGAACATTGTTCTGAAAACTCAGTACAACATTTTTATTTTATGTATTAATTCAATTCACAAGCAACAAAACAACCTACCTGAGAAATATCAGTTGTTGGCACTTCAGAATTATCGGATGAAAAATCAACCTATAATAGCAGATTTTTTATTGTTAACAAAATCATAATAGATATAATACACACAATCTGCCACAAATTTCTTACCAAATCTTTTGAACACAGATTCGACAGAAGTTGAAGAAGTGCACGCAAGTCCCTGTACTTTTCAGTTTTTGCCTCATTAAGTAAGCTGCTTGAAAGACTTAATGATATCTGTTATAATGGTGATGAAATATTAGTAGTAGTTCGATCAATCACCACTATAACATATAGTACATGTAACGATTATAAAGATCTATAAGCAATGTGACCTTTATGATCATGGAATGATTGTAAAGATCAAGAAGCAATTCGATCCTCATCTCCAGGATCAAAATGAGCCTTTATTGGTTGTCAATCCACAAGGATCTTCAACCTTGAAGAACAATTAATTCTAGTAACAATAATCTTAGATCATAATGTACATGAAGACATTGATATCTTAGCCCACCAATGTTCATGATGTACACCTCAAGAATCTTGAATAATTCTTTATTCTTTATTCATGATGTCCATGACGACAAAAAAAAAAATGTACGTGATGACCATGACCTCCACTCATAATGTACATTACGACTACAAAGCAAAAAAGGAAAATAGTTTTCCCTGGACCAAGCAATATATGAACATCACTGATATCCCAAGTACAGAAGAGGGGTTAAGAGCACAGCAGTTCCGAAGAAGCAGATGCTAGATTTATCTGAACTAATTCACTAGCAACTCTATTTAACTGGAATGCTCAACTTAATCAGAGAACATTTGCAAACTAATCAGATAAAGTAGCAACTTACCCTGCCAATGTTATGTGATGAATACAGCTGAAGCAAACGCATGCAAAAATCAACAACAATAGCTGTTTCTTGAGCTTCTAAGTAATTAATTTGTCCATCCACCCAGTGAACCACAAATTTCAGTAGCATATAAACAACTGCAGACTAAGAAATCATCATTAATCAGTGTATATATAAGAAAATATAAAATCAGCACAAGTCTTTTTAAGGCAACTAGTGATTCTGTAGGTGTATATCTTTCCACCTAAATGCACCTTGACAAACTAAGAGAATCACCAGTGAGAAGATTATGAATGAATATTACAAACTTGACATAACTTCAAATATAGGCATATCACAGTGAGCCCAAAAGCAATGATTTGTTTGTTTTGTTTTTATAACGAATATAATTAATGTAGGATATGTGCACACTAGCTTTAGGTAAACTATTCTCTAACACTAGAAGAAGTTGAAGGCATATAAAAGGTTATTCTATTTAAATTATGTTTTAAAATTTGACCCTTTATAAACCCATTACTTCCCCTTCACGCTAAGGATAAGGATACTTGATATAGGAAATAAAAGAATGGATGACTAGAATAAATTATGAAATAAGTCAAAGTTTAGTATTATCACATAAAATACATGAAGTTAATATAAATTATATTGTTTAACTTAAACCAACTATTCAAATTTTCACCACTTAAATATTTAAAATCATTTAACCAACCACATATAAGTTTAAGACAACATTTTGTGAACATATTTAGGATGAATACAGAACACCTTTCTATATATAACATTCCTCGACTTCCCTTGCTATTTTTCTTTTTAAACTATTTCAAACTGTGTATAAATTTTTTCATGCATAAATGAGAGAACCTCAACATAGTTTATGCATGCATGAAACCATACTGTTCAACATGGATGCATCAATTTTTGTACCTCATCTTTATAAACTGCAAGAAGAACTAAAACAGGGTTCATGACAGAAAATCCCAACTCATAAATTGCTCTCTGGGTCCGAGGTTCTGAAGCACAAGCAGCACCACGAAGCCGCTCCAACAAGCAACTTATCTGCAAATATAACGAATCGTGTTAATTAATTAACCACCATTCTTCTCCATCATTAGACCCATAAAATTTTTTCGAAAAAAATTAATGTTCGCAGCCAAAAACTTGCAATCATCATCATTTTTTCTGATAAAAAGCTGCAAATTCTCTATACAAAGTATGTTTATTTAGAAAAAGCTTACCATCACCATAACGTCAGGTTGTTCAGCAATACTTGTTAAATCCTTCCTGCTAGCCGTTTCTACCAGATGTGTTGCTGTATGACCCATAAGGTCCCTCACATACCTTATGAAATCCAAAGCATGATCAAGGGAAAAATCTAAATGAACAAGAAACCAAATGAGGAAGATTTCAAAACTCACTGGTTTGATGATTCTATATTTCTCACACCAGAAGCCGAACGCACTAATGTTTGAGCAAGTGAACGCTGAAGGAAAAAGAAAATGGCTGTCATCAAGTGGGAAGGTATAGGTAAGCTGGAGAGTCCCAACTATACAAACCATATTACCTGGTGAGTGAAATCTAGCAAGAACAATTTTTTTTCATTATCAAAAGCATTTGTTAAGTTGCGCCAGGAATCCTGTAAAATAACCAACAGGGTCTTTTAGGAATTAATTTTAAGCTGCATACTCCATGAACAGCTCGAATGGAAATAATTTAGATGGCAGACTTAAAAAATTTTATTACCAAACAAAATATTAAACGGATGCCTTGTCAATCAACAGAGAGTAAAATGCTCTTTCAAAAGACTACTAAATCTGCAGTCGTGAGATCCCCAGAAATTTACAGTTAAGCTTCAATTCTGTTGTTATTGACAGAAAGGGGGATCAAAATTTACCCTCTACAAGTAACCTAATAGATTCAACCTTTTAAATTAAACATAGAATTAGAAATGTTTACTCATTTAGGGTTCCACCTTTAATGAATTTAACTATGTGTAACAACCCGTATTTTCTAATACGATCATTCTGACAAAATGCGGAAACGTAACTTTCAAGAAACCTTAAGAACTAAAATTATTCAGTCAATCAAAACAAGCTTTCATTCTTTCAAAACAAACTTTCATTCATTCAAAACAAACTTTCATTTGATCAAATTCAAAATCCTTCGAAACAAACTTTCTTCCAATCAAAACTTTCAAAATTCCTTCTAAAACATTTGGTACAACTTTCAAACTTTTGAATAACTAAATCATTCAAACATTCAAAACAATCTTACATTCATTCATACTTTCAAAATCAGACTGGAAGGTTGCATTATTTTGGTAGCCTACAGAACATATGTGGTTACCCGTCGGTAACACCAAATCAATCAGAAGCTTCTATCAGAATTGTCGAATTAATATCGACCAGAACAGAGTTGTCGAAATAATATCGACCAGAACAGAGTTACTTAAGTGTGAGCCATGTGAGTGAATAACACACACATGAATCTTCATTCCCAAGGAATGCCAAACCACAAAAGTGCCTTCCCACAAATAAGCCAGAACAGAAATCCATCAATTCCAAATTAGGCTACTACCCCAAATAAGCAAAACATTTCTCAAAACAAAAATCATGGCATATCCGGATAGCCCTATGAAATCAATCAAAATATCTTTCAAATAAAATGCAAAACAAATACTTACTTTCAATATTAAATTAAT